AGATAGACTGGTCCCAACCCTTGAAAAGGTCCGAACCCTTAAAAAGGTCCGAACCCTTGACTGGGCCCCAAAACCCTTTTACTGGGCCAACCCTTTACTGGGCCAAAACCCTTGACGGGCCCCCAACCCTGGGCTGGTTTTTAAACGTTTCCCTGCACTACCTAGCCCGGTTATTAAAAGAAAATTTTAAAAAGGGGTTCTATAAAATTTTAGTTTAAAAATCAACCATTCAAATCATTATGAAGCCCGTGGGGTATTTTGTGGCAGTCAAACAAACGGGCCCTTTCCCCATGCATAAATTGGGCATTTTTGTGGGAAAATTTGGGGCACGCCCCTTGGGGCAAATATCCAAAAAACTAGCTACAAGCATATTAAAACAGGGGAAAAGGGTTTTTTTGGGGATTCCCCAAAAGAAATAAAAACTGTGGCTAAAATCACAAGGATTAAAAGAGGGCAACCCCAAAACTGCTTTCATAGAAAACCCCGGAAGCTTTTTTACAACAGATTTGGGAAAATAAAAAAATCTGGGGTGAAAAGGTAAATGCCCTTTTATACTGGCCATGTAGTCAAAACTGTAAGGCTGGGGATGATGTCCTGGTATCAGTAAAAAGGGGGGCTGATATGCGTCCTGGGGGACAGTAAGGAAACGGAGGTCTGTCCGGGGGGGGGCAGTAATGGTGAAGCTGGAGAATTTTTTTTTCTGTCCCCGGGGGACAGTAATGGGGAAGCTGGAGATGCTGTCCCCGGGAAAACAGTAAAAGGTGAAGCGGGGATTTTTTCCAGGTTTGTCGGGAATTTTTTTTGCAAAGGAAGGAATTTCAAAAAAAATGACCTCATAAGGGGGCAGGAGCCATAGTAAAGGGAAAAAAAGTGTATAAAGTAAGATAAAACCAATAAACAAACTAAAAACCGCAGGAAAAAAGCAAACAAAGGACTCCACTAGCAATAGGAGGATACTTAAACCCAAAAAAAACTGGGGGGAGCTCATTGTTGGGGCTAGGGGGGATAGAAGTAAAAACCCGGGAAACATGCACCCAAAAGGGGAAACAGTTTACAAAACCCAAGGCAAACGGGAAAACCCAAACCTGTGCACATACATGCACTCGGGATCTGCTGGCATGGGAAAAACGGAAAAAAAGATGGGAAATTTCAACTATGACCACCCTTTGAAAAAGCCATAAACCCCTATACAACAGGGAAAAAGCAAACTCCCTTCCTGTAAGCTTTTTTACCCCCGAACCCGTTTTAACCCCTCAAAACCCGGGAAAAACTTGCTATAACTTAAATTGGCCCGGCATACCAAATAAAGGGGGCAAAAAAAATAAAAAAACATCCACCATGGGAAAACCTGGGGAGCCACAGCCCCTCAAGAAGGAAGGTTTTTTTTTGCCAGGAAGGAAAAAAAAATGGCAGGAAAAGGGAGAAATCGACACCCCAAATTCCCGTCATTCCTGGAGTGGAACCACAGTCCCATGGCCTCCACTCCAAACCAACAAAACAGATACTAATGCCCCGGGAAAAAAAACACCCCTTTACCAACCTTTCCACCAGTCCCCATAAAAATTCTTCTTTGCAAAATACAGGTTTTAAGCCACAACAAACAACCAAAATACCTTTCATCCCCTGGACCCGCTTGCAGAAGGCAAAGGCAATGGGTTTGCGGGTTTCACTGAGACCCACATAAAGGATCAAATTGGACAAAAAGAAAAATTTGGGTCCCAGGTTTTTCAACCCATAAAAGATGTGACAGATGAACAGGCAAAAGGGGGGGGTTTGGGCCCGTACAATTTCAGAGTCACTTTTTTGCACAGAACTGCTAAATGCCTCAAATGATTTTGTGGAATTTTTTTCAGAAAGGCGAGAACCAAAAAACCCAGTCATTTTGGGATCCCACAAGCCTCCGGATGCAACATCCCAGCAATTCCAGGAACAGCTGTTAAAAAATTTACCACTTTCTGGAAAAACCTTTTCCCGCTCCTCACCAAACAACTTGCTCCTGGGGGGTTTTAACTTAAGGCCACCTTTAAAAGGAGGAAAATAGCAAAAAATAAATTTTTTGCCCGTTTAAAAACACCAGGGGGCAGCTCTGATGAAAACTCAACTCACCGAGCTTTTAAATTTTCCCCGCACAAAATTCAATTTAAACCACAAATAAAAGAGCCACAGACTGGAGAATAAAACTAGACCTCATCTTCCCTTTAAAAATGAAGAACGATAAGAAAAAAGGGTTTCCATATCAAAAACAATTACTCAATCACAACATAAATTTGGGGTTTAGTCAAGTATGCGCGGAGCCCCAGACCGACAAAATGAGATTTGTCAGAGGGGCCCTTCACCAAAATTTAACTTCAAAAAACCCAAAAAAAAAAGTGGGGAAAACCCAAATAAACCAAGTCCTAACCATAAAAAAGCGGAAGATATACTAAAAGGGAAACACAGACCCCCAAATTTTGCCTAAAAACAGATTAAACCGGGGGCACCCCGAGGATTCACAAGGCTTGTTCCCCTAAAAAAAAAGGGGTAATTTTAAAAAAGAAAGAGAAAAGGGGCTCCCTTTTCAGGCGACGGAAAAAAAAAACAGAGCGGCTAAAAAGGTCAAATATCTGAATTGCGTAGGGAACCCCTGGCAAAGAAATACAAGCACGAACTAACTAAAAGAATCCTTTAGGATTTTGGAATCGCGGGGAAAAACTAAAAGCCATAAAAGAAATCGAAAAAAACCCAAAGTAAAATTTTTCCCCCTATGCCAAATCAAAAAAAAAGAACAACGTCCCCTAAATTGGGGCCCCCACTTAAACAAGATGGGTCCCCACACGGGGAAAAAGCAAGGAAATTTAAGAAAAACTCCCGTCCCAATATGCCCATTTTTTTGCAAGCCGCTAACCAACGAGATCAAGATCAAATGAATTTTTTATGAGAGACCCCAAAAATTTTATGAACACAAAACCTATCCGATGTTAAACCTGACGCCAAATACTTTTGAAAAAGGCGATAAAAGACATGCCCATCAATCTGCCCCGGGCCCAGACTCATGGAACTCCCGGGTTCATCAAAAACTGCAAAAGCCCCTATCACGAGCCTTTTCCCTCTTTATAAGGGAGCATGGGCCCCGGGGGTTTGTCCCAAAAGGTTACAAAAAAAAACAGAATCCCCACTCCACAAAGGGGGCAGTAAAGCCAAAAGCAAAGAACACAGACCAAAAGCACTAACCCCTTTCCCCTATCATAAAAATCTTGAAAGGGTCCTAAGGGAAACAAGATCACCACCCTCTAGAAACCCATCAGTTACACAACCCAGGGGAACAGGGTTAGAACAGGTCGCTCCCTTTTCTTCTCAACTATTGGATCACTAAAACAAGGGGGCCCCAAATGGGAAATAGAAAACAAAAAGAATGCGATGTAATATATACAGACTTTGCAAAAGCCTTCGACAAGGTTACCATGGGGTAAAACGCACAAAACGTGCTAAAGGAATAACAGGAAAAGTCGGTCGATGGGTTTATAATTTCCTCACTAACAGAAACAGAGAGTAGTCGTCAACAGAGTAAAGTCCGAGGCAGCTAGGGTTTGAAAAGCCTGTTCCACAAGGCACAGTACTCGCTCCCATCTTGTTCCCCCATCCTCATATCCGACATAGACAAGGATGTCACCACAGCACCGTGTCTCCTTTGCAGATGACACCCGAACTGCATGACAGTGTCTTCCATTGCAGACACTGCAAAGCTCCAGGCGGACATCAACCAAATCTTCAGGGGGCTGCAGAAAACAATATGAAGTTCAACGATGAGAAATTTCAATTACTCAGATATGGTAAACATGGGGAAAATTAAATCTTCATCAGAGTACAAAACAAATTCTGGCCACAAAATAGAGCGAAACCCCAACGTCAAAGACCTGGGAGTGATCATGTCGGAGGATCTCACTTCAAGGACCATAACATTGTATCAATCGCATCTGCTAAAAAAATGACAGGAATGGATAATGAGAACCTTCAAAACTGGGGAGGCCAGCCCATGATGACACTCTTCAGGTCACTTGTTCTATCTAGGCTGGAATATTGCTGCACACTAACAGCACCTTTCAAGGCAGGTGAAATTGCCGACCTAGAAAATGTACAGAGAACTTTAAACGGCGCGCATAACGGAGATAAAACACCTCAATTATTGGAGCGCTTGAGGTTCCTAAACCTGTATTCCCTGGAACGCAGGAGGGAGAGATACTTTGTTTATATACACCTGGAAAATCCTAGAGGGACTATTACCGAACTGCACACGAGAATCACTCACTACGAAAGCAAAAGACTTGGCAGACGATGCACCATCCCCCCAAATGAAAAGCAGGGTGTCACTAGCACGTTAAGAGACCATACAATAAGTGTCAGGGGCCCGAGACTGTTCAACTGCCTCCCAGCACACATAAGGGGGATTACCAACAGACCCCTGGCAGTCTTCAAGCTGGCACTGGACAAGCACCTAAAGTCAGTTCCGGATCAGCCGGGCTGTGGCTCGTACGTTGGTTTGCGTGCAGCCAGCAGAAACAGCCTGGTTGATCAGGCGCTGATCCACCAGGAGGCCTGGTCACAGACCGGGCCGCGGGGGCGTTGACCCCCGAAACTCTCTCCAGGTACTCCAGGTAAACATGCCAAAACCCCTTGATATGCAGAACATTTCGAGCAAACTTAAGACTAACTTATGATTAATAAAGCAATAATAGTGCAATAATTTTGTACATATGGTCATTAGGTGAGTTTACAAGGAATACAGTGATGATAGAACTTATAAAACAGAAGTAACAACATCAAAGGTAAGTTTATTATTAATTTAAGAAAAGCAATTAAATCATGAACTACTTACTTAACTTTCATTGAATGAGAAAGAGAAAATAGTATATTGGATTACTTTGAACATAGTGTAGTAATGTGCTACAGTGAAGATATGTAGTGACATTCAAAATTACTGATAGGATACAGGAAAATAAAATTTTATCAATTTATTATTTCAGAGTGATGGGTGAAGCAGTAAGACTGTCAGAATGATACTGAAGACACACAACCCTTTCTTCTTGACCTTCATCATCGCTGCCTCAGCTCTGCGCCTCACACACTCACAAGATGTGCTGCAACCATGTGCATCTTCAGTTTTACGTCCCACGGAATGCAAACTACATCGCCAGGACCAAGTGATCACCTGTTGTGGTGTCAACAGCACACAGCTGGTAAAGTCTTTGATGGAGATTAGGAAACAAGTAGCAGAAGGAAGACAGAAAATCGATGTTTTTAATAGCGACAGACAAAAGTAAGTTTGTTTCACTTTGGTATATTTAAATCAATGTGTTGTAAGAGGCGACTAAAATGCCTGGAGCAAGGCGCTAGTAACCCTTTCTCCTGTATACATTACTAAATGTAAAAAGAGAAACTTTCGTTTTTCTTTTTAAGTCACCTTGCCTCGGTGGTATATGACCAGTTTGTTGACAAAAAAAGAAATAAATCGACAAATAACGTGGTACTGGCCATGTACTCTGCCTTCGTTGTATGACTGATAGATAAAAATCATTCTGAATTTTTCTGAATTCTTTTGCGCTAAAATTTGTTTCTCACTGAATTATTGAACCAATATAACCACACAAACACATCCATATTACCAGCCGTACAAACACATCCATATTACCAGCCACACAAACATCCATATTACCAGCCTTACACATCCATATTACCAGCCACACAAACACATCCATATTACCAGCCGCACAAACACATCCATATTACCAGCTGCACAAACACATCCATATTACCAGTTGCACAAACGCATCCATATTACCAGCTGCACAAACACATCCATATTAGATTTTTTTAGATTTTGCCACCGAAGTGGCTAGTTTATTGTGCACCCCATATCCATCCTGTGGACGGTAGCGCGAGAGCATATGGATACACAAAAGGCCTAGGAACTAGGCCCCAAAGGGTTAACAGGAATACATATGGATTTATATCTACATATCTATAGTTCACTTATCTGTTACAAGCAAATTTATATTACCAGTCACAGAAACACAGCCATATTACCTGCTGCACAAACACATCCATATTACCAGCTGCACAAACACATCCATATTACCAGCTGCACAAACACATCCATATTACCAGCTGCATAAACACGTCCATATTACCAGCCGCACAAACACATCCATATTACCAGCCGCACAAACACATCCATATTACCAGCTGCACAAACACGTCCATATTACCAGCTCCACAAACACGTCCATATTACCAGCTGCACAAACACGTCCATATTACCAGCTGCACAAACACGTCCATATTACCAGCTGCACAAACACGTCCATATTACCAGCCGCACAAACACATCCATATTACCAGCTGCACAAACACGTCCATATTACCAGTCGCACAAACACATCCATATTACCAGCCGCACAAACACATCCATATTACCAGTCACACAAACACATCCATATTACCAGCCACACGAACACATCCATATTACCAGCCCACACAAACACATCCATATTACCAGCCACACAAACACATCCATATTACCAGCCACACAAACACATCCATATTACCAGTCACACAAACACATCCATATTACTAGCCACACAAACACATCCATATTACCAGCCACACAAACACATCCATATTACCAGCCACACAAACACATCCATATTTACCAGCCACACAAACACATCCATATTACCAGTCACACAAACACATCCATATTACCAGCTGCACAAACACCTCCATATTACCAGCCACACAAACACATCCATATTACCAGCCACACAAACACATCCATATTACCAGCCACACAAACACATCCATATTACCAGCCACACAAACACATCCATATTACCAGCTGCACAAACACATCCATATTACCAGCTGCACAAACACATCCATATTACCAGTCACACAAACACATCCATATTACCAGCTGCACAAACACATCCATATTACCATCTGCACAAACACATCCATATTACCAGCTGCACAAACACATCCATATTACCAGTCACACAAACACATCCATATTACCTGTCATACAAACACATCCATATTACCCGCCACACAAACACATCCACATCGAGTCACACAAATATAGACAAAACACTAACATACCATAGCTATGCTAAAGCAGTCACACGGACACATCTATAATAACATAAATTATAATCAAACTAACACAGTCACACAAAAACAGCCACACTAACTATATACCTGGAGAGGGTTTCGGGAGTCAACGCCCCGCGGCCCGGTCCGAGACCAGGTTGATCAGACCCTGATCCTGGTGGATCAGGGTCTGATCAACCAGGTTGTCACTGTTGGCCGCATGCAAACCGATGTACGAACCACAGCCCAGGCGGTCAGGTACTATCTTTAGGTGCCTGTCCAGTGCCTTCTTGAAGACAGCCAGGGGTCTATTGGTAAACCCCTTTATGTATGCTGGGAGGCAGTTGAACAGTCTTGGGCCCCTGACACTTACTGTGTTGTCTCTCAGTGTACTCGTGGCACCCCTGCTTTTCATTGAGAGAATGTTGCATCTCTTGCTGAGTCTTTTGCTTTCATACCTGGAGTTTACCTGGAGAGAGTTCCGGTCTGTGACCAGGCCTCCTGGTGGATCAGAGCCTGATCAACCAGGCTGTTGCTGCTGGCTGCACGCAAACCAACGTACGAGCCACAGCCCGGCTGGTCAGGAACCGATTTTAGGTGCTTGTCCAGTGCCAGCTTGAAGACTGCCAGGGGTCTGTTGGTAATCCCCCTTATGTATGCAGGGAGGCAGTTGAACAGTCTCGGGGCCCTGACACTTATTGTATGGTCTCTTAACGTGCTAGTGACACCCCTGCTTTTCACTGGGGGGATGGTGCATCGTCTGCCAAGTCTTTTGCTTTCGTAGTGAGTGATTTTCGTGTGCAAGTTCGGTACTAGTCCCTCTAGGATTTTCCAGGTGTATATAATCATGTATCTCTCCCTCCTGCGTTCCAGGGAATACAGGTTTAGGAACCTCAAGCGCTCCCAGTAATTGAGGTGTTTTATCTCCATTATGCGCGCCGTGAAGGTTCTCTGTACATTTTCTAGGTCAGCAATTTCACCTGCCTTGAAAGGTGCTGTTAGTGTGCAGCAATATTCCAGCCTAGATAGAACAAGTGACCTGAAGAGTGTCATCATGGGCTTGGCCTCCCTAGTTTTGAAGGTTCTCATTATCCATCCTGTCATTTTTCTAGCAGATGCGATTGATACAATGTTATGGTCCTTGAAGGTGAGATCCTCCGACATGATCACTCCCAGGTCTTTGACGTTGGTGTTTCGCTCTATTTTGTGGCCAGAATTTGTTTTGTACTCTGATGAAGATTTAATTTCCTCGTGTTTACCATATCTGAGTAATTGAAATTTCTCATCGTTGAACTTCATATTGTTTTCTGCAGCCCACTGAAAGATTTGGTTGATGTCCGCCTGGAGCCTTGCAGTGTCTGCAATGGAAGACACTGTCATGCAGATTCGGGTATCATCTGCAAAGGAAGACACGGTGCTGTGGCCGACATCCTGTCTATGTCGGATATGAGGATGAGGAACAAGATGGGAGCGAGTACTGTGCCTTGTGGAACAGAGCTTTTCACCGTAGCTGCCTCGGACTTTACTCTGTTGACGACTACTCTCTGTGTTCTGTTAGTGAGGAAATTATAGATCCATCGACCGACTTTTCCTGTTATTCCTTTAGCACGCATTTTGTGCGCTATTACGCCATGGTCACACTTGTCGAAGGCTTTTGCAAAGTCTGTATATATTACATCTGCATTCTTTTTGTCTTCTAGTGCATTTAGGACCTTGTCGTAGTGATCCAATAGTTGAGACAGACAGGAGCGACCTGTTCTAAACCCATGTTGCCCTGGGTTGTGTAACTGATGGGTTTCTAGATGGGTGGTGATCTTGCTTCTTAGGACCCTTTCAAAGATTTTTATGATATAGTGACTTGTGCAAAATTGTGTGGTATCATAACAAAGATAGGGGCAGTGACTAACAGCTTCATTTTCACCAGGATACCCTAAAATCTGAGGAAGGTTTTGTATTTGGGTGAAATTCAAAGTCAAGAAATGGGAATCCTAACAACAAATAAAAACAGAGGGAGAACTGAAGGGAAAGAAGAGGGAGGAGCTGAGGGAGAGATTAAAACACTGAGAAAGCCAGGATTTAGAAACAGGAGGTGATATTAAGAGAGGACTTTTAGCCTACATGGTTAATAAGTAAGACACACGTACAACAGTTAAGTATCTTTATTTTGTAACGTTTTGCCTACACAATAGGCTTCTTTATTCGAATGCAGAGAGAGCAGCAGAAACAGTGGAAATGTACAAATAACATGATCAGTCCACCACCCTCGAAGACATGGTTTTAAGGTGGTCAGTCCCTCAGCCTTGAAAAGAATTCTAGTACACAGTCTGGAACAATGTGAAGCTGAAGTTTGTTGTTTTATTCATCAGGAAATAGAATTCTCCTCCAGAGTGAGGAACTGACCACCGCAAAACTACGTCTTCGAGGGCGATGAGCTGATTACATCATTTCACATCTCACTGCTTCCAATGCTTCTTCTGTACTCAACTGAAGGAGCCTACCGTGTAGGCACAATGTTTCAGAATATAGATACCTAACTGTTGCACATGTGTCTTATTAACCTTTCGGAATTGTATACCATTATTATATTCAAGCCTCCGGGGTTACATCATGCAAAGCCCCCAACAAATGTACCTTACAAAACATGCATTAACATGTATACTATATAAGGTAATGAAGAAGATGAACAGAAGAAGAGTAGCAGAGCACCTGGAAAGCACTTGTCACCATCAACTAGCATGGCATTAGAAATGGTAAATTGCATTTCACCTCAATTACTGGGAACATTTGAAGTCCCTAGACCTATACTCCTTACAAGCAGGTGAGAAAGATATATCATAATCTACACCTGGAAAATCTTAGAGGGACTAGTCCCAAATCTGCACACGGAAATCACTCCTTATGCAAGCAAAAGACTCGGCAAGCAGTGTATCATCCCCGAATGAAAAGTAGGGGTGCTGTGAGTACACTAAGATATAAAACAATAAGTGTCAGGGGCCCAAGAGTGTTCAACTGCCTCCCTGCATACAGACAGGAGGATTACTAATAAATCCCTAATTTTCTTCAAGGGATAGATGGACAGACACCTAAAGGCACTACCTGATCAGCCAGACTGTGAATTGCATGCAGCCAGTAGTATCAGCCTGCTTGATCAGTCCCTGATCCACCACGATGCCTGGTCATGGACCAGGCTGCAGGGCCGTTGACCCCTCCCCTCAAACACCCTCCAGGTAGACTCTGCTTGTGTTGTATGATAGGGTAATACAAGTGATGCAAGAGAGAGAGGGTTGGGTGAACTGCATGTAGGTCTGGTGGTGATGACTGTTGATGATAAACTGGTGACAACAGAACATCAGAGGCCCACCTAGGATATGTGAGGTCACGTGTTGCAACTGTCTGCCAACAGAGAGACCTATTGCAACAGATGGGAACCTCCCCAGAGCTGACTGGAATTTTCCATTTGTGGCATCATGTCGGTGCTCAAGAGTTTTTTTTTCGGATTTCAGAGCTCTTAGATTATTCAGAATTTCAAATAAGGAACACTCAACCTGTAAATATTAATGCCATAGATACTACTGCTGAAGCCACACTGACACTACATGGAAAACTGTAAGAAATTACACAAGAATAAAATTCGCAACATCATATTCTTTGATATTCTTCGTGTTAGGCTCAACCTCTAGAAAATCTATGTAAATAACAGGGTCAAAAATGTGAAAAAACTTGCCAAGTGAATTAACAACTTATAACTTGATGAATTCAAACAAAACTTAACAAAATATTGTTTTTAATGTTCTGCTGTTGCTAGAATTTCTTTAATGCAACTCTTAAAATTCCCACTAATTTTTAATTCCTGTGTTATAAGTTAAACCATGTTCCTTATTATTTAAAAGTTTAATCACATCTTCACTGTTATTACAACATGACTTTCTTATTGACTCTTTAAGATTCTTCAAGTTAAATTTCAACTTAACATTAAATTTTAATTTGATGTTATTCACTGAATGCTCTATTTTCAATAAATTTGTTTTATTTTATTATGTAATTTCATATATATCATAGTTGGTTAGAACTGAACATCATTTTTTATATTTCAACAGAAGTAGTTAGTGATTTAGCAGTAATTGAATTTATAACTCAGATGAATTAATTAACAGGTTACAACATTATACTTTTGCACATTTTACATAATGAGATTGAAACCATTTTAATTTTGAAATAATCTTATAATATTTAGGAATTTTTGAGTTGTTGGTGGCAATAATATACAGTGTTTGTGTGGTACAAGGAACTAACTGCACTTTATGATGAACAGCAATGATAATGTAAGAGACCTGTGGATGACAGTACGAGAAGTGTCATACTTGAGCTGCATCCTGCCTAAGCTCGCTCCAGACACACTGTTTACACCATCACCACTTGAGAGAGTAACTGTTGTTAACTCTGGTGTTGCTGAGGTCCAACTTGATGCCTTCACCACCCACTCCAGCACTCTTATTCACCTTGATCTCTCGCACAATCTGCTGGTGACACTACCTGAAGCAATGGTTAATTTAACAAGGCTGGAGATTCTTGATCTCAGCAGTAACAAGATCAGTCATCTTTCAGAGAAGACCTTGCTAAATTTTCCCCGCCTACGTCAGCTTCACCTCAATTACAACAGACTTGGAGAGGTAAGAGAAGAAAGTCAAGTGTAATAGTAGGAAGTGTATTATAATACAGTGGAACCTCAAAAATCGAACATATCACATATCGAACGTTTCGAAAATAGGACCATTTTTTTCGGACAAACTGTATCCCTATTATCGAACTCGCCCTTATTTTCGGACCGCTGGGTATGGGACCTGTCTGCCGCCTGCTCTGTCTGCGTCCCCGCGCAGGCGCCATGAGCAGTCTAGCTTTGTTTATGCTTGAGTGAACACTAACCTGCGCTCTCATTCACGCATTTTACGATTATTTCGTTGTGTTTAGTGCTCATGGGACTGTGAAATAAGCTGTCATGGGCCCAAGAAACTTGCTAGTGGCACCCCTGTGGTAAAGAAAGTGAGAAACACAATAGATGTGAAAAAGGAAATAATACAGAAGTATGAGAGTGGTGTGAGACTTGTTGAGCTTGCTAGGATGTATGGGAAAAACAAGTCGACCATCGGTTCTATCCTGTCAAAGAAAGAAATCAAGGAAGCTGATGTTGCAAAAGGTGTTAATATAGGGAGTGGATGAGGTGCCTTCTTCAAAGATTAAGGAGGTTTGTGCCAAGTGGAATGATGTCCAAATGTTTGTGCAGAAGTACCACCCTGAGCAAGCTGAAACAAGCCGTCTTTGCAACAAGTTCAGTGACAGAACCATGTCCCATTTTAGGGAAATGTTAAAGAGGTGCCAGAAACAGAGGACTGTGGACAGTTATTTTGTGAGACAGGGGTCCAGTGACTCTCAAGCTGGTCCTAGTGGCATTAAAAGACAGAAGGGAAGTAACCCCAGAGAGGGCTTTACCTGAAGTCCTCATGGAGGGGGATTCTCCTTCCAAACACTAACCCCAACTCCCTCTCTCCTCCTCCTTATCTTCCAGATGCCATCACCAATCTTCAATAAAGGTAAGTAAAAATGTTATTTTATATGTATTACTATGCATAATTAAAAACTATAGTATTTGTTGTATGTAAAACTGTAATTAATCTCTATAAAATGTATTTTTTGTGTGAATATTTTTGGGTTTCTGGAACGGATTAATTTTATTTCCATTATTTCTTACGGGAAATATTGCTTCGAATTTCAGACTTTTCGAATTTAGAACTAGCTCCTGGAATGGATTAAGTTCGATTTTTGAGGTTCCACTGTACCTTGAATACCTTGAATGTCCTGTGACTTCGTAATCTTCTAGTTTAAGGTGCAAGAGGTTGTGGTACACTTTCCTTAATTCTATGAAGAGCCCCAGAGGATATCCAGTTTTTTCCAGCACTACATATAGCAGTTCAAACATTTGTATAATTGCATCATTCGTACTTTTTTTTTTTTTTGGCCTAAACTCAAACTGGCAGGGGTTAAGTACGTTGTAAGATATTAGATAGGAGTTAACTCGTATGGGGAAGTTTGATATAGGTCTATAGTTATTCAGTTCAGTTGGATCACCTCCTCTGAGGACCAGGGTGACTCTTGCTGTCTTGATTACACCATAGATGAGAAGGTTGAAGATTCCACTGATTTATTCAACACAGTTGCAATAATGATACTTGATGCAAGAGTTGCAGCCTCACAACAGTACTTACATCTTGTCACAAGATAACAATCCCACCAAAATTATTATTTTTTTCCCTCTCTAGAGGATAATCATCAGCAATTAATCACAAAATCTCTTAGACAAAATAAATATTTTGTACTTTAAAGTATATTATAGTTATTTTTTGCACATTTGTATATTTTCTGTTAAGCTGCTCTTCATATATACATTTTATTAAATTGCTCTATATGTTTTTATTATGCTGCTCTTAATGTATATTCTTTTTTATTATGCTGCTCTTAACGTATATTTTTTACATGTTATTTCTCATATACTGCATTTTATTATTCTGCTCATTTTTATTTTCTATGCTGCTTTAAAAATGTTTTTCTTGATATTTGTACTATACTGCTACTTGTATATATTTTCTACTATGCAAATATTTATATAAAATATTCATGTCATTTGTTGCATGACTGTATCACAAGATTTTTATAAATTGTCTTTCCATTACAGAGAATGTTAATGATTTCTGTTTGTTCTCATCTTCTCAGTGCAAATTATGTGGAAAAAATGGTTTCAACGTAGTAAATGATATATTTATTAAATTATTCAGCTAAAAAAAAAAAAATTCCAGATGTGGATTGGTCCTCACTTGGGTTTGAGTGCGAGTGTGTTGAATCTGGAGGTAGTGAAGGACACCATTACTGACCTCTCTCTCTCTCACAATGCTCTCAGTGCCATCCCTCAGCAGTTCACCAGAGCTTTCACCAGACTCATCAACCTTGATTTATCTTCCAATAATATATCAGGTTCGTGATCATCCTTCACCGTCAGTGGTTAATTTTATGCTTTCAGAGATTTAGTTTAAACTCATCAACAATGAATAGAACAGTGAAATTTAAATGATACTTTAGACTGATACATAGTCCTATGATTTTAAAAGGCTTCACTGTTGCTAAAAATACTTTTTTAAAGGATGCCCAATGCTATCCAGGTGCATAACAATGAATGATTAATCACATGACACTACCATCTTGAACATTTCACAAAATATAGGAAGGTGCTACAAAGACAGTGTAGTACACTAGGACCCCAACTTACACTGATACAGTTAACAATGATCTTGATCCACATTTATGATCTTGTCACTTTAGAGCCAATTGATTTTCTTAGAACATAAACTTGCTCCTGCGTGGGTATGAGTACTTATGGCCATGGGCAGGAATACTCATGACCATGGAAACATCACTTTCAGTGAGCAAGGCAGTGCGAATAATCATCAGATGTATTCATATTTGCACGTGTTTATTTTATGCATGTGGGGAGGGTTTATCATTGTATAGTAGAGATTCACCAAGAATTACAAACTCTGCATCACCAAACTTCCATCAAGCCTCCACAACCCACCACCTTAATTCTGACTAATGTACTAGTACTGTACATAGGCGAAGAGGATGTGTCTGACATTCTAGTATGCACATACGCATACACACATACACACACACAGGCTGAGGAAAGAAGGTAGGGAGCTCACAAGAAATGACCAAGAAGTATGTGAGGAGCTCAACATGAGATTTTGGGAAGTATTTACAGTGGAGGCTGAAGGGACACTGGGAAGACAAAACGGGGTACACCAACAAATGATATACCAACAAGTGTTGGATGAAATACACACAACTGAGGAGGAGGTGAAGAAGCTCGTAAGTGACCTTGATACCTCAAAGGCGGTGGGACCGGACATCTCTCCATGGGTCCTTAGAGAGGGAGCAGAGACACTGTGTGCCACTACCCACAATCTTCAACAGATCTCTTGAAACTGGGCAACTACCTGAGGTATGGAAGATAGTCCCCATCTTTAAGAAAGGAGACAGAAATGAAGCTCTAAACTATAGGCCAGTGTCACTGACGTGTATAGTATGCAAAGTCATGGAGAAGATTGTCAGGAGGAGAGTGATGGAGCACCTGGAGCGGAACAAGGTTATAAACTACAGCCAGCACGGATTCATGAAAGGCAAGTCCTGTGTCACAAACCTACTAGAGTTTTATGACAAGGTAACTGATATAAGAAATGAGAGGGGGGGTGGGTTGATTGCATTTTCTTGGACTGCAAGTAGGCCTTCAACACAGTTCCTCACGAGAGATTAGTACAGAAGCTAGAGGATCAGGCACATATAACAGGAAGGGCACTGCAATGGATCAGACAATACACAACATGGAGGCAACAGCGAGTCATGGTCCGTGATGGGGTATCACAGTGGGCACCTGTGACGAGCGGGGTCCCACAGGGGTCAGTCCTGGGACCAGTGCTATTCTTGGTATATGTGAACTACATGACGGAAGGGATAGATTCAGAAGTGTCCCTGTTTGCAGATGATGTGAAGTTAATTAGGAGAATTAAATCAGATGTGGACCAGACAGGTCTACAATGAAACCTGGACAGGTTGGATGCGTGGTCCAGCAACTGGCTCCTAGAATTTAACCCTGCCAAAGGCAAAGTCATGAAGATCGGAAGAGGGCAAAGAAGACTGCAGACAGAGTATAGGCTAGGCAGCCAAAGACTGCAAACCTCACTCAAGGAGAAAGATCTAGGGGTGAGTATAATACCGAGTATGTCGCCAGCACACATTAACCAGATATCTGCTAGGAATATCCGCTAGGAATTTTTATTTACCTAAGAAAAGCTTTTGACACAGTAGACCACGGCATCCTACTCCATAAACTTGACCATTATGGTATAAGAGGCCATGCACTTGCATATTTCAAATCCTACCTTACTAATAGGTATCAGTATGTCACCATTAAAGACACAGCATCATCAACACGGCCACTTGACACTGGAGTACTGCAGGGAAGTGTCCTTGGACCCCTGCTCTTCCTCATTTACATCAATGATCTTCCAAACGTATCCCAACACCTGAAACCTATTCTCTTTGCTGACGACACGACTTATGTCATCTCTCACCCTAATCTTGCCACCCTCAACACCATTGTTAACGAGGAGCTGCTCAAAATATCGACTTGGATGACAGCCAATAAACTTACACTTAACACTGACAAAATCTACTATATTATGTTTGGTAGCAGAGCAGGCGTTGAGCAACTTAACATTAAGATTAACAACACTCTAATTGCCAGATATAATGAGGGCAAATTCATAGGCCTATACCTCGACAACAACCTAAATTTCAGCACCCATATCCAACACATAACAAAAAAAGTGTCCAAAACAGTTAGGATCCTCTCCAAGATATGATACTACATGCCGCAAAATGCCCTTCTCACACTATACCATTCACTCATTTATCCATACCTCACCTATGCTATTTGTGCTTGGGGATTAACTGCAGCAACACACCTAAAGCCAATAATAACCCAACAAAAAGCTGCAGTAAAAATAATCACTAAATCCCATCCCTGGCAACACCCCCCCCCCACTCTTCATTGATCTAAACTTACTCCCTGTTCAGAACATCCACACTTACTACTGTGCAATTTACATCTACAGAACCTTAAATTCCAATATTAACCTTGACCTAAAATGCTTTCTTGATAGTTGTGACAGGACCCACAGGCATAACACCAGACACAAACATCTCTACGACATTCCTCGTGTCCGACTAAACCTTTACAAAAATTCAATATACATGTATGTCAAAGGCCCTAAAATCTGGAACACCCTACCTGAAAACTCTAGAACTGCAGACACATTCATCACCTTCAAAACTACTGTTAGAAAACATCTTATCTCCCTGATACACTCCGTCAACTAACTACATAAAAACCACCTGGTGGTTCACACTTACACTCACCCATTTACTATAAGCACAGAAATACGAATCTTAATCTTAAAATAATGAATCTTAACTAGTCATAAGTTTGCCTGTGATACTCCAATATAGAAACTATGTATTGTGCCAAAACAAAAGCATTCATATTGCTAAACTCACAAACTAGTATTTAGTCACTTAGTATTTAGTCAACTTACTCCATAATTTGTAATAATTTAGGGTTAAGAATTAATCTAAGTTTGCCCGAAATGCCTAGCCATGCTAAGTATCCTAGTGGCCCCCTCTGTAATTAGTATTTTATTACATGTAAACCACACAATAACCAAAATCTGTAAACCCCGCATTGTAATCCTTATAGAGAATAAACTTGATTGATTGAACTGCTGCAGCATATGGGTGCCTGGCAAACCTGAGAATAGTGTTCCGGTACCTCAGTGATGAATCGTTCAAGATTTTATACAGTGTATACATCAGGCTCATACTGGAGTAGCAGCACCAGTTTGGAACCCACACCTGGTCAAACACGTCAAGAAATTAGAAAAAGCGCAAAGGTTTGCAACAAGGCTGGTTTCAGAGCTAAGGGGAATGTTCTATGAAGAGAGGTTAAGGGAAATCGGTCTGACAACACTGGAGGACAGGAGGGTCAGGGGAGTCATGATAATGACATACATAATAGTCCGTGGAATAGACAAGGTGGAGAGAGACAGGATGTTTCAGAGATGGGACCCAGAAACAAGGGGTCACAATAGAAAGTTGAAGACAAGCACCTAAAGTCGGTTCTTGACCAGCTGGGCTGTGGCTTGTACATTGGTTTGCGTGCAGCCAGCAGTAACAGCCTCGTTGATCAGGCTCTGATCCACCAGGAGGCCTGGTCACAGACCGGGCCGCGGGGGCATTGACCCCCGGAACTCTCTCCAGGTAAACTTAGATGAGTCAAAGGGATGTTAGGAAGTATTTCTTCAGTCACAGATTTGTCAGGAAATGGAATAGTCTGGGAAGTGATGTAGTGGAGGCAGATATGATGAAGGTCGTGGAGCAGGAAGAGTGACCTAGCAGTGACCAGTGAAGAGGTTGGGCCAGGAGCTCGGACTCGACCCCCGCAACCTCAACTAGGTGAGTACACACACACACACACACACACACACACACACACACACAGTGGAATAGCCTAGAAAATGACGTAGTGGAGGCAGGAACCATACACAGTTTTAAGACGAGGTTTGATAAAGCTCATGGAGCGGGGAGAGAGAGGGCCCAGTAGCAACCGGTGAAGAGGCGTGGCCAGGAGCTAAGACTCGACCCCTGCAACCACAAATAGGTGAGTACACTAAAAAAAACACACACATTGAAGGGGCAGGGCCAGGAGCTGTGATTCAACCCCTGCAACCACATATAAGTGAGTACACAGTAGTATATACATGTATTAATATATGTATTGCATTTTATTTACATTTTGTATTTGTACTGTTTAGTTTAATTTTTATGAATCTTGTTTAATTTTTTAAGTCATTCAATATTCTCTTCAAGTTTTACAAATTTTTATATATTTATTGTTGACAGTGTAAACATTTTCCTGGGTACAAATATTTCATTTGAAGTTTAGAAGTACAGTGGACCCCCGCTTAACGATCACCTCCAAATCCGACCAATTATGTAAGTGTATTTATGTAAGTGCGTTTGTACGTGTATGTATGGGTTGAAATGACTAATCTACTTCACATATTCCTTATGGAAAAAATAGGCAGTACTGGCACCTGAACATTACTACTGGAATGAAAAAAGTTCGTTAACCGGGGGTCCACTGTATTTAGGCCATGATTACAATTTCTAAAGGAATCTGGAATTTAATTTCTATCAGTATATACTGTATATGTATTGAAAATATCTAGTCTTTATATTTCATCAGAAAAAAAAAACAAGTTGAAATGTTCATTGAACACTTTTGAATGTGGCTTAACAATGAAACTTCCAATGTAATGGTGTCTTATTATATTTTTATTCATGTCAAACATTGAATTCTGAAAAATTTACTTGTAAAAAATAATTCTGTCTATTGCAGTACAGTAATATTCTGAGATCTCATAGTGAATGTGCAACTGAATAATATTCACAGAGGTGTTAGTTGGGGCACTGAGCAATATGGCACAACTTCAGCATTTAGACCTCAGCAACAACCTCATCCATTCCATCATGCCACAGGCACTCTCCACTACCCTCCTCCATCTCAATCTCGCAGGTCAGGACCATCTCTTTATGTTAATATGGGAATAATCACATTTGTGTATTACAGTAATTAGTAGCAAATTTACCGATTCATTTAAAAATATTTTTGGAACAAGAACTTATTTTAATTTTTACTCCAGTTTTAGAATGTTAGTACACTTTTAAATATACAGTGGAACGTTGACTTACGAGTGTCCTAACGTACGAGTTTTTTTGAGATACGAGCCGTCACTGGGTCGAGTTTTTGCTCTGAGTTACGAGCCAGCTCCCCCCCCCCTTCTGTTCCCCCTCAACCCAAAACCTGGACACTTCGCTTGTTTATCTATGATTTCAGGCTTTAATTCTATGGAAATCATTCTCTTTTTCTTCTCAGCACTGTCCTTTACATTTACTTTCTTATGACCCATGCTTAGAAAAATAAAATTTGACTAAATGACTGAAAAAAATGTAAGCAAAGCATGAGAAAACTGCTCTCACAGTGAGGTAAACAGTGAACTGAGTTGGCAGTGCTTATTTTAATAAAAATAATAATTATTATTATTGTTAGTGTTATTATTATTAATTTAAGTAACTAGAGCATAAAGGGACTATACATGCTCTCTGCCAATCCTTAGGTACCTTCCCCTCTTTCATACATTTAATAAACAAAAATACCAACCACTCCAACACTATATCTTCCCCTGCTTTTAACATTTCTGTCATGATCCCGTCAGTTCCAGCTGCTTTACCCCTTTCATTCTACGTAATGCCTCACGCACCTCCCCCATACTCACATCCTGTTCTTCTTCACTCCTAAAAGATGGTATACCTCCCTGGCCGGTGCATGAAATTACCACCTCCCTTTCTTCGTCAACATTTAAAAGTTCCTCAAAATACTTTCGCCATCTACCCAAAACCTCCATCTCCCCATCTACTAACTCCCCTACTCTGTTTTTAACTGACAAATCCATACTTTCCCTAGGCTTTCTTAACTTGTTTAACTCCAAAATTTTTTCTTATTTTCATTAAAATTTCTTGACATTACCTCTCCCACTCTATCATCTGCTCTTCTTTTGCTATAACACTTCTGCTTTGTAAAAACCTCTCATAAGCTAACTTTTTCTCTTTTATCACATCCTTTACTTTTTCATTCCACCAATCACTCCTCTTTCCTCCTGCACCCACCCTCCTATAACTACAAACTTCTGCCACACATTCTAATACTGCATTTTTAAAACTATTCCAACCCTCTTCAACCTCCCCACTACTCATATAGGTACCATCCGGCTTACGACTGAGTTCGGTTCCGACAAACCGGTCGTAAGTCGAAATGGACGTAAGTCGAACCTTACTACTGAATATGAACATCACATTTTTTTATGACTTTATTTAATTGTTTTATTTTGGTATTTCATTTTTTACTTTTTTATGCTGTTAGTACTGTATTTTATACTGTAAGGTTTAGGATAAACACTGTGTACAACACAAACAGTTGTTCATTTCCCAGAAATTTGGCATAGAGAACCTGGTCGTAAGTCGAATGGTCGTATGTCAAGCAGGTCATAAGTTGGATGGTAGGTGTACTTGCACCAGCCCACCTTTCTGCCAATAGTTGCTTATATCTCACCCAAACTTCCTCCTCCCTTAGTTTATACACTTTCACCTCCCTCTTACTTGTTGCCATTTTCCTCTTTTCCCATCTACCTCTTACTCTAACTGTAGCTACAACTAAATAATGATCTGATATATCAGCTGCCCCTCTGTAAATGTGTACATCCTGGACCCTACCCATCAACTTTTTATCCACCAATACATAATCTAACAAACTACTTTCATTACGTGCTATATCATACCTTGTATATTTATTTATCCTCTTCTTCATAAAATATGTATTACTTATTACCAAACCTCTTTCTACACATAGCTCAATTAAAGGCTCCCCATTTTCATTTACCCCTGGCACCCCAAATTTACCTACCACTTCCTCCACAACATTTTTGCCCAGTTTAGTATTGAAATCCCCAACCACCATTATTCTCACACTTAGTTCAAAACTCCCCATGCATTCACTCATCATTTCCCAAAATCTCTTTCTCCTCTACACTTCTCTCTTCTCCAGGTGCATATACGCTTACTATAACCCACTTTTCACATCCAACCTTTATTTTACTCCACATAATCCTTGAATTAATACATTTATAGTCCCTCTTTTCCTGCCATAGCTTATCCTTCAACATTATTGCTACTCCTTCTTTAGCTCTAACTCTATTTGAAACCCCTGACCTAATCCCATTTATTCCTCTCCACTGAAACTCTCCCACCCCCTTCAGCTTTGTTTCACTTAAAGCCAGGACATCCAGCTTCTGCTCATTCATAACAATCACAATTATCTTTTTATCATTTACACAACATCCACACACATTCAGACTTCCCACTTTGACAATTTTCTTCTTATTCTTTTTAGTAATTATTACAGGAAAAGGGGTTACTAGCCCATTGTCCCGGCATTTTAGTTGACTTTTACAACACGCATGGCTTACGGAGGAAAGATTCTTATTCCACTTCCCCATAAATATAAAAGGAAAAGTAATAAGACCAATAACTATTAAGATAACATCAAAGAAAACTCAGATGAGTGTGTATAAATAAAGATGTACATATATGTGTAGTGTGACCTAATTGTAAGTAGAAGTAGCAAGACGTACCTGTAATCTTGCATATTTATGAGACAGACAAAAGACACCAGCAATCCTACCATCATGTAAAACAATTACAGGCTTTCGTTTTACTTGGCAGGACAGTAGTACCTCCTTGGGTGGTTGCTGTCTACCAACTTACTACAATACTTACATAATAATAATTCAGATTGCTTCTGCTAGTTGGCACAGCTGGTAAGCAGTAAACATGTTTACGTCGCTTTGGAAGCAGTTCTCTCGTGCTTGTTTGCATTTTTTACAGTCATTTGGCCAAATTTTTTCTAACCATGGGTTCTAAGAAAATAAGTGCAAAGGACAGTGCTGAGAAGAAAAGGACGATGATTTCCATCAACATCCCCCACCCTCAGGATCCTCCACCCATACTTTATATAAACAGTTTTTATACGATATTTCTTATTTATAAATACGTTGTTTCAGTGTTTTCCTTAGAAAACTAGTAATCTACTGCAGTTAGCCTTAAAAATACTCAATTTTCTCTTACCATTTTCTCTGCCACCATATTATGGCCTATTTTATTCATTCTAGAGTATATATTAACTGTGCTAATTATATTGTTTATAATGTCATGTTAGATGAATTGTGATAAATAAGCCGTACAGTTGATAATAGCGTCATATTCAAATATTTTTTCTCGTTTCTCCAGAGTTCAGGAACGAATTAATGGCTTTTCAATTAATTTAAATGAGGAAAATTAATTTGATATACAAGTAAATTGAGTTATGAGCTAGCTCCTGGAACGGATTAAGCTCGCAAGTCAAGGTTCCACTGTATATTACTGTGTTATTGTGTTTAAAACATGCACTAAATTCGTATATTTCTGGTAAGAAAAATAATGCATTTCTAAAATACATGGCAAAGTATGATGACCTAGTGCTCCTAGATTATTTAAATGCTAACAACTCGCTTACTGAAACTTGTCTTAAACATGACACACCAGACATCTTTACCTTGCCTGGATACATAGCCATTCATAACTGCAGGTCTGATCAGATGGAGTGAGGGACTGCCATGTAACACTAATGAAATAATATGCAGTAATTCTAAATGTATCAGTGATGAACACTAAATATACATTTGCTGACTTTGCCACCAAAAATTTAAAAACTACTATAAAAGTTGGAGCAATCTGCTGGCTACCTCATACTAATATTCTCACCTTTAATGACAAACTAAATTTTAATAAGAACCTAAGAAAGGAGGAACACTGCAGCAGGCCTGTTGGCCCATACTAGGCAGGTCCTTCACAATCCATCCCACTATCAAAACATTTGCCCAACCCAGTTTTCAATGCCACCCAAGAATTAAGCTTTGATAACTCTATCCACTCATATGCAAGTCCCACTCAAATCCAACCCCTCTCACTCATGTATTTTTTTTTTAACAAGTTGGCCGTCTCCCACCGAGGCAGGGTGACCCAAAAAGAAAGAAAATCCCCAAAAAGAAAACACTTTCATCATCATTCAACACTTTCACCTCACTCACACATAATCACTGTTTCTGCAGAGGTACTCAGAACACAACAGTTTAGAAGCATATATGTACATATAAAGATACACAACATATCCCGGGGCTGAGTGCATGGGCATGTTGTCAATGGCTTTTTCGAAATCTATTGGAGTTAGGGTAATGTCGGAAATCTGGCATACATTTATGGAGTTTTTAGGCTCATTCATGAAGAAATCATTTGGGTCGTCGATCCTCAGACTGATTAGTGGTTCACTAAATACAGAGTCGTACTGGGATTTCAATATTTCACTCATTTCCTTGTTGTCATCTGTGTAAGTCCCATCCTGTCTGAGTAAGGGCCCGATGCTAGATGTGGTATTTGCCTTATTTTTGGCATATGAAAAGAAATATTTTGAATTTCTTTCAATTTCACTAATAGCTTTAAGCTCCTCCTGTCTCTCCTGGTTCCTGTAAGAGTCATTTAACTTAAGTTCGATAGTTTCCACTTCCCTGGTCAGCGCCTCCTTTCGTGTATCAGATATTCTAGCACTCCTGAGGAGCTCAGTGGCATACATGTCATTTCTGCCATAGAAGAGGTCCCAGTTGTCAATGAATGTTACTGCATTTTCCTTACATTATTTGTCCAGCCAGCAATTGACACCAACTGCCCTGGACAACCATTCATTTCCAACTCCTCTCCTTGACAAAATACCACATATGACAGGGTTCCCACCCTTCCTCCTAATTATCTCTATTACTGACCTGTACCTGCTAATCAGGTCCTCACTCCTACTTCTGCCAACATCGTTGCCTCCAGCACTGAGACAGATAATAGGATTGCTCCCTTTACCTCTCATAATGCCATCCAGAC